CCCCCCCCCCCCCCTCGCGCAGGAGCACCGGATGAGCTACGTCCGCAAGAACGCCGTCCTGGCCCTGCACTCAATCTTTAAGTTCGACTCGACCCTGGTGCCGGATGCGCCGGAGTTGATTGCCAAGTTCATCCGCACCGAGACCGATGCCACCACCCGGAAGAACGCCTTCTACCTGCTGATCAACTGCGACCAGCCGCTGGCCATCGACTACCTGCGGTCCATCATCGAGCATGTCCTCACCTTCGATGAGTCCTTCCAGCTGGCCGTCATCGAGCTCATCCGCAAGTATTGCCACTCCAATCCTTCGGAGCGTGTGCGTCTCCGACCCGCCGCCCGGCTCCACCCGGCCCCCTTTCCCCCCCCCCCCTCTCTCCCTGACTTTCCTCTGCTCCCTCCCTTTGCACAATCCCAGGCCGTCTTTGTCAAGGTCATCTTTGCGCTGCTGGAGTCCCAGTCGCACACTGTCAAGTATGAGAGCGCGACCACGCTCATGTCGATCACCCGCGCTCCGGCCGCTGTCAAGGGTACATCCACATGCCTGGACCACCGCCCCTCCCCCTCAGACGCACACACACACACACATATGCGCACACATTGCCGGTGCACTGACCTCCCCCCTCCCCCTCCCCCATGCAGCCGCTGCCTCTGCCTACATCGACCTGGTGATGAAGGACTCCGACAACAATGTCAAGCTGATTGTCCTCAACCGTGTGGAGGAGCTCCAGCGCCGCCATCCGCACCTTCTGGACGACCTGGTCCTGGACCTGCTGAAGATCCTCAACAGGTATGCACTCACCGCTGCTGCTTCTCCCTCCGCCCGCCCCCGCATGCGCCTGTGTATCCCCCTGTCCCCCTCGTGCCATTGGTGGCATGTGCATGGCCTCGCGGCCGTCGCCCAGTCACTCACCGCGCTCATGTGCCCCTGGCCACCGGCGGCAGCCCGGACTTGGAGGTCCGCCTGCGCGTGCTGGATCTGGCCATCACCATGGTCCCGCTGCGCCATGTCACCGAGGCGGTGGTCCTGCTGCGGAAGGAGCTTTCTCGGACCAGCTCGGCCCCGGAGAACGACGAGTCGTCCATCATCTACCGCCAGGCCCTGGTGAAGGTGATTCACTCGTGCGCGGTGCGCTTCCCGGAGACCGTGCTCTCATCCTCGCTGCAGCTTCTGATGGATCTCATCGGCGAGTCGCGCGGCGACACCGCCATTGATGTTGTGAACTTTGTTCGGTACGTCCTGCCTGGGGTTTGCTCCTGCTCCGCCGCCTGGCTCTCTGTGCCCGTGCCCCATGCCCTCTCCTTGCCCCTCGGTGGGTCTAACATACTTGGGCCCCTCCCCCTCCGTGTGTGTGTGTGTGTGTGTGTGTGTGCACGCGCGCGCACGTGCGTCTCGTCGCCCCCGCTCGTCCGTAGCCTGGCCGCCGAACGCAACGTCAGCATTCGCGATGCCGTCACCCAGCGCCTGATTGCCCAGCTGCCGGAGATCCGCCTGTCGCGCGTGTTCCAGGGGGTCCTCTGGGTTCTGAGCGAGTTTGCCCCGGTCGAGCGCCTGCCGGAGCTGTTCGAGGCCCTCGAGCGCTCGCTTGGCCCCTTCCCGCTGGAGGCCCCCGTCGAGGAGGCCGGTAACCAGGAGGACAACACCGATTTCGAGGACAACCGGTCGGTGTCCTCGGGCTCCGCGTCGTCGGCTGTGTCGGCCTCCACCGCGTCCGGCCTCGGCCGCGGGACCTCCTCCTCGGCCACCGGCAATTCGGCCCGGAACAAGGTGACCGGCAGCTCGGTCGTCGCTGGCGGGTACTATTGCGTGGCGCTGAACGTGCCGGCGGGTGTGCTGTGTGATACCCCGCTCCGGTCGTTCCTGCTCTACGGCGACCCGTACCTGGCCAGTGCTCTTGGTGCGGCCGTGACCAAGATTTGCCTGCGCCTGCGGGCGGCCCTCTCGGATGGCCCGACGCACGCGGACCTGAATGAGGGCCTGGTGGATCAGTTCTACACCTCGGCCATCCGCATCATCGGGGCTCTGCTGAAGCTCGGTGGCGACACGCTGAACATGACGGCCGGCCTGTCGGCCTCGGCCACCGAGGCCGGGATCCAGTCCGGCGAGGGCAGCCACCTGTACCAGCACCTGATTTTGGACGCCGATGCGTATGAGCGTCTGTCTGGCTGCGCTCGGCTGCTGACCGAGCCCAATGCCCTGGCCGAGCAGGCCTTCCTCTCCAGCCGGCCGGCTTTCTCCACCTTCCTGGCCGAGCAGCATCGTGCCCAGAAGTCCACGGCCAGCGAGCAGTCCGATGCCCGGGCCGACCATCCGGAAACCCGGCTGTCCCTGCGCCAGCTGCAGAGCCGCAAGACCGTGGAGAATGCCGAAGATCAGGTTTGTCCCTCTCTCCATTGATGCATCTATTATCTTCTTCTTTTTTTTCTTTCTTTCTCTCGCGTCTCCTCCCCGGCTCCCCTGGCCTGCTGTGCCCCCGCCGAGTCGCCCTGGGCCACACATCTGACGCCGAGCCCCCCCCCCCCGCCCCCCCCTGGACTCCTCTCCCCCCCGCTGCCGGTGCGCCTTCGGCGTCGTATGGCAGTATGAGACCGATCTCAACCGGGCCATCGGTGCCGACGACGCGGCCGCCCAGGAGCTGGTTTCCAACCTCAGCCGCGTGGTCCAGCTGACTGGCCACTCGGACCCCCTCTACGCCGAGGCGTATGTCCATGTCAACCAGTATGATATCCTGCTCGGTGCGTGTTTCTTGCCTCTTGCCTCGCCGCTCATGGCTGCCTGCGTCTGACCCGGGGCCCCATCCCGATGCATGGATGGCCATGCATATGCACATGCATCCACCACGTGCCTGTGCACGCACGCGCCCCGAAGACATTCTGGTGGTCAATCAGACCAGCAGCACCCTTCAAAATGTCACCATCGAGCTGGCCACCCTTGGCGACTTGAAGCTGGCCGAGCGCCCGGCGTCCCATGTCCTGGCGCCGCACGACTTCTGCAACATGACCGCCCACATCAAGGTGTCCTCCACCGAGGCCGGGGTCATCTTCGGCAACATCTCCTACGATTCGTCCTCTGCCTCGGAGGCTTCGCGCGTGGTGGTCCTGCACGAGATTCGCATCGATGTCATGGACTACATCCAGCCGATTCAGATCCCCGAGTCGCAGTTCCGCCGGATGTGGACCGAGTTCGAGTGGGAGAACAAGATCCCCGTCATGACGGACATTACGTGCGTCTGTCACCGCGCGGGGGGCGCCCTTGCTGCTCCAACGCCCAGGGAAGCCGGTCGCCCTTTTCCTCTCTCTCTCTCTCTCTCTCTCTCTTTCTTTCTTTCTTTCTCCCTCTCTCTCTCTCTTGCTCCCGCCGGACACAATCCACATGCTCGGCTGGATGATCCTCCATGTGCTGACACACATCCACACCTGAATGGGGCCGGGGGGGAAAAAAAACCCCAAACCCCAACAACAAAACAACCCAGCGACCTCCACGACTACCTGAACCAGCTGGTCAAGTCGACCAACATGAAGTGCCTCACCCCGGCGGCCGCCACCGCCGGCGAGTGCGACTTCTTGGCAGCCAACCTGTATGCGCGGTCCATCTTCGGCGAGGATTGCCTGGCCAATGTCAGCCTCGAGCGAACCAGCGCGGCGGCCCCGCTGGCTGCCGGGCTGGGCTCCGGCTCGCCGGTCCTCGGCCCCATTGGTGGTCCCGCCACCGGTGGCAGCGCCATGAAGATTGTCGGCCACATTCGCATTCGCGCCAAGACCCAGGGCATCGCCATCAGTCTGGGTGACAAGATCCTCATGTCTCAGAAGTCGGCCAGCGCCGCCGGCGGGAATAAGCCCACCCGGCCGCCGCCCGGCTCGGCTGGCCGGAGCAAGCTCGGCTCGCCGAAGCTGGCTGCGCTGACTTCCTCCGCCGAGGGCAGTGCCTCCAGCGGAAGCCCGATTGTCGTGTGATGACCAGCTGGCCTTTGCCTGCCGCCTCGCACGTGAAATGTCTCCCCCCCCCCCTTGTGTGGGAGCAAGTGGGCTGTCCCGCCCGCCGGGGGGTGCCATGGCGCCGGGCACACGGCCGGCCCATGCGCGGTGTGCGATGCACCATGCTCCTGGCAGCTTGGGAGCACCATTGCAGAGACCGACAAAGGGACAGGAGAGACACATTTGCCGCGCACGCGAATGGCAAGGCGCGGGCCGGCGGATTCCCCTCGCCGACGCGCGCGATGCCCCATTTTCCTCATACAGACCCCTCCCCCCTCCCTCCCTCCCCTCTCCATCCACACGCCCTGTCCCCGAATCCGCTCCTTCGCGCGCGTCTCCTCAGCCCCAAAAATAATATACCTACAACCATGTTCAAATCCGCGGTCCCTTTTCGCAGGCGGCATGCCAAACCGCCGCGCACCCCACACGCACCTCGGACAGGAAGGCCGAGAGAGCACACCCCAGGGGCCGGGCGCACATCCCCCCTCCTCAGCCGCCTTTTCCACCGGCCGACCAAGGAAGCTGGAGGGACTCGGCAGCTGGCTGGGACCCGGGCTCCGTCCGCCCTCGTGCCAACGCATGAGGCCATCTTTCTTGGCCCCCCCGGGGGGGGGGGGGGGGGGGGGGGGGGGGGGGGGGGGGCGCGGGCGCCCCCCTCGGGGGACCCCCCCCCCCCCCCCCCCCCCCAGCCCCGAACCCAGATCGCCCGATCGATGGCCCCCCGAGCCCCGCTCCCCCCCCCCCTTGGCCCTGTTCCTCGTCGTTTGTCCTCATGGCCGGCCAGCAGGAGCCCTCGGGCCGGGGCACGAGGGGACGATGCGACTACTCAAGCAGGCAGGGCGGAGATGTTGCCCCGGCCCCTTGCCTCAGGCAAACCCCGGCACCCACCTCTCAAGCCCAACCACCCTGCACTTTGCTCATCTCTCGCTCCTCCCTCCCCCTTCTCAAGCCGACCTCGCTTCCCCCTGCCAATCCTCGCCGTTGGCGCCGCCTATGTTCCGAGCTGAGCGAGCTATCGCCGCGGCCTCACGGATCGTGGTCTCCTCGCATCGAGCCACCTCGTCTTCCACTCTCGCCCCCACGCGCCTGCGCCAGCTCACCTGTCGTCCTCTTGGTTCGGCACTCCTCCCGAGTGTCCTCCCCGGTCGCTCGCGCCGCTTTCCCGCCCGGCCCCCTTGCACTGGCACCGGTCTCCGGCACTACAGTGTGCGTCTCCCTCGCTTTTCCCGCATGGCCCGCACCTCCTGCTGGCTCCAGATGCCCTCGTCTGTGTGCTGCCTGGCGCTGCCGGGCCTCGCACGGCGGACCGGCCTGTGTGCTCATATCCCTGGCTGATGCCCCCCCCCCCCCTCCCCCCTCCCCCCTCGGACTCTGTCCTGCATGGTGTTGCCTCGCCATCCCCTTGAAGAATCTCCCCTCCAGCACGACCATGACCAGCCACACCCCGGCGTCGGACGCGGCTCCCGAATCACAGCCCCGTGCCTTTGCCCTGCCCTTTGTCGGTGCCATTGACCAGGGCACCACCAGCACTCGGTTCATTGTCTTCGATCGCGCCGGTGCCATGGTTGCAAGCCATCACGAGAAGTTCTCCTCAATCTTGCCAAAGGAGGGGTGCGCTCCTTGCTCTTGCGACGTGGAAAGCCCGGGGAGTGTTCCCCTTTCCCATGTGGCCCCCCTCCCCCCCCTCCCCGCTGGCTAATGTGTCGCTGTTTCTTCTTCCTCTTCTTTTTTCACCCCCCTGAAACTTGCCAGATGGGTGGAGCATGACCCGCACGTCCTGCTGGACACGGCGAACCGCTGCATCGCGGCCTGCCTCGCCAGCATGGAGGCGCTCGGCTTTCCGAAGGACAGCATCAAAGGTATGCCGCCATGTCCGGACATGTGCTTCCCTGTCATGCGAGGCACATTTCCACCTCCGGTGACCACTCACACCCGCCCTCGGACCGGCGTCCTCCTCTCTTCCCCCCTCTCACCCCTGTCTGGTGGCGTACCCCCAGCCGTCGGTGTGACCAACCAGCGGGAGACCCTGGTTGTATGGGACCGCTCCACCGGGAATCCACTCTGTCCTGCCATTGGTGTGTTCGCATTCTTCCTCCTTCCATCGCCGGCACTCTCTTGTTTCTCTTGCGCCCACCCGCGCCCCTTTCCAACCTCCTCCTCGATTCTCCCCTCCCTCTTCTCCGGCAGTGTGGAATGATACCCGCACGGTGGGCACCGTCAACCGCCTGACTGCCGGGGCCAATGACTTCCTGGACACGCTCAGTCCGGCGGAGCGGGACACTGCCAATGCCGCTGGTGTCCAGGCCACCCCGCGCGCCGACTCGGACTTTTCCCGGCGCAACATCTTCCAGCGTCTGTGTGGCCTGCCCCTGGCGACCTACTTCTCGGCCCTCAAGTGGCGCTGGCTGGTGGATGCTGAGGCGGAGCCCGGCGCAAAGGCGCGGCCGATCGCCGACACCCGCGCCCGCGGAGACCTTTGCGTGTCGACCGTGGACAGCTGGCTGATTTGGGTGCGTGCTTGATTGGGCCCCTCCTCCCCTCCTTTCGCCTTTTCTGCCGAGGACAATCCTCCGTGCACCCTCTCGCCCCCCCCCCCCCACACACACACACATACGGCATGATCTCTCTAACCATTTCTCCCTCACCCCCCCCCCCTCCGTGGTGCGTGTGCTTGCGAAGAATATGACCGGGCGAGCCTCCTTCGTTACGGACGTCACCAATGCCAGCCGCACAATGCTTATGAACCTGTCAACGCTCAAGTGGGACCCCCTCCTTTGCCGGTATGCTGCCAGCGGCCTTTCGACTTGCAACCGGACCCACCGTTGTTTTTTTTTTTTTCGCTGACTCGAGCACAGCTTTTTCGACATCGACCCTGCGTGTCTGCCGGAAATCCGGTCCTCCGCCGAGGTGTATGGCCACTTCGCGAAGGACCATCCTCTGGCGGGGATCCCCCTCTCCGGCGTACGCGCTCACCAATTAAACATACTGCCGCACATGCCCCCCCCCCCCCCCCACTGATTCCGCGTATGCGCCCTTTCCTGCTCGCCAGTGCGCTGGTGACCAGCAGGCCGCTCTGGTTGGACACTCCTGCTTCGCTGACGGCGATACCAAGAGCACGTACGTCGTCTCCGGCCTCCTCTTTTTTCTTTCCGCCCATGGCACCTGGGCGGTCATCTCTTTCTTGCACGGTCTCTCTGACGGTCCCTATTGCCCCCCCCCCCCTCTCCCTCTCTCTCTTTCCCCCTTTTCCCCCAGTTATGGCACGGGTTGCTTCATTCTCTCCAACACGGGTGAGAGGCCCGTCTTCTCCAAGCATGGCCTGCTGACCACGGTGGCCTATCAGATGGGTCCCACCGCCCCGCCAGCCTATGCTATCGAGGTGCGCCCATACACCAGGCATCTCCCACCCGGCCCCCCTCATCGCCACCGCCCCCATCTGACTCCGGAGGTGCATGCTGGACATCCTCTCGTTTGACCCCCATGCTGTCTCCTGCTTGCTTGTTAGGGCTCCGTTGCGTGCGCCGGTGTCGCTCTCGATTGGCTTCGCGACAAGATGGGTGTGGTCAATACCACCGAGGAGATTAGTGCGTCGATTTGGTCTCCACCTCCTTGGTCCCTGGGTTGCCTTCCGCCACTGACATCTTTTGGGCCACCACCAGGCACATACGCTGCTGAGGTTGACACGACGGCTGGGGTCCATTTTGTGCCGGCCTTTTCCGGTCTCTTTGCTCCATACTGGCGCTCAGATGCCCAGGGGTGCGTCTCCCCCCTGGAACTTCCTCCCCCTTCATCTCTTGCATCTTTCCCAGTTTGCTTTTACGCCCACACACGCTTGTGTGTGTGTGTGTGTGTGTGTGTGTATGTGTGTGTGTGTATGTGTGTGTGTGTGTGTGTGTGTGTGTGTATGCGCGCGCGCGTGAATGCTCACGCCCGCCTCATGTACCAACCCCGGGGCTCTGACAATCTTACCTTCACCGAGCACAGTATCATCACCGGGCTCACGCAGTTCACCGACCGCAGGCACCTCTGCCGTGCGGCGCTCGAGGCCATCGCGCACCAAACGTGCGATGTGCTGGATGCCATCCAGATGGACCGCGCGTCGGCGGCAGGCGACTCGAGTGCCCAGCCCGACACCACGCTCTATGTGGATGGCGGTGTCACGCATTCGGACTTCCTGGTGCAGCTGCAGTCGGATTTGGCCGGCGTGGCTGTCGGTGCGTGCCTTCTTCCTCCGCCCCCCCCCCCCTCCCCTCCCTCCCTTTTTTTTGTTTCTCCCTCATTCCCCTCCGGCCTGTTTCAAATCAAGCCCCTACCCCGTGGGACGCCATTTCTCATGCATCCCATGCTCCGCCTCCCTCCTCGGCTCTTCACAGAGCGCCCGCACATGCGCGAGGTGACCGCCCTCGGGGCGGCATATCTGGCCGGCGTTGGTGCTGGCCTCTGGCCCCATGCCACCGGGCCGGACGCCGACCAGGCCAGTCTCCTGGGCAGCCGGCAGTCTTTCCGGCCGAACATCGCTCCCGAGAGTACGTGCCAGTGCATTTGCCCCACGCACAACAGGCGCAGGGCCATCCGGACGCGCCCGTCTTGTGACTAACCCCTCGCTGTGGACCGCACACAGAGTGCCAGATCATGCGCCAAGACTGGAAGCAAGCCATCGCCCGGTCCTGTGGCGACCAGGTTGCTCGCCTTTGAGCAGCAGAAGAGGATCCCTCCCTCTCGCACATTCTCGACTTCTGCCTTGACTCCCCCCCCCCCCCCTGCAGAAAAAAAAAGTACCCCAGGGGATGGCCGGACGGATCTCCTCACAAGAGGGGAGCCATTGGGAAGGGGGAAAAGACGCAAACAAAATAAGACCACCCGAGCGCATCCGCTCTCCCGCCTGGCAATAGACCACATCTGACGTTTATTGGAGCCCCGTGTACACAAGAGATCAAGCACAACCCCCCTCCTCCCCCCCTCCCCCCGCAGCCCGAGGAAAACGGTCAATATAAAGGCGTTTAACGGGCTAGGGGGAATGGCAGTGGCAAAGGTGTCGACGATGACGGTGGTGGCGCGGTGGCAGTCGCGCGTGGCGCGGCGGCGAAGGCGGCGGAGGGCGATGATACCCCAATGGCTATCCTACTACAGGGGCGACCGGAAGGGCCGCCCGCCACCCCGGGCGCAGGACCGCCCCGCTGCGGGGAGGGCGCGCAGCGAGGAGGAGATCTTCGCAGCAGGACAAGCACGCACCGTACACCCCCCTGGCAGCAAAAAGGCCAGAAGGAACACGAAAGCTGCCACGACCGGCGGAGAGGGACAGCATTGGCAAGTGGAGCATGTGCGCAGTGGCATGGAGAAACACGCGCGCGCGCACGACAACACATACATGCAGTCACGCGGGCATGCTCCGTCCCTGCCCCGGCTGGCTGGCTGGCCGGTCGGCGCCCTCTCTGCCTCGCGGGCTGGCCGGCGCCAATGACACTCGGCGGGCTGGGCACATGCCATCTGGTGGGGGGAGGATGGCATGCGCCCGGACCGAGTCATTGGCCAAGGGCGGCCCCCGGCTCACGTACCCGCACACGCACACGCACTCACCGACCCCGCCTGCCACCGACATTGACGCATATCTACACATGCGCCAACATCGGCCAGTGGCAAGGGAGAGGAAGAGGAGGAGGAGGAGGTGGTGGTGGTGGTGGGAGGGCAGTGCCACAGACGCGGAGGGGAGAAGGAGGGCGCAAGGGTCCAAGTTCAATCAGTTGAGACGGCTGCGCAGGATGACGCCAGCAGCGACGGCCGAGGCGGCCAGGGCCACCACCGACGCGCCAACCGTCATCTTGGCAAGGGTAGACACCTGCACCCGCGCGTGCGCGCCCCGCCGATGGACGCGAGTGTCCCAAAGAGAACCGCCACGCGAAAGCGACCACCAGAGTCAGTGTCGGCATATGCTGAGCAACGAAAGGCAGGAGGGGAAGACAGGGGACGGAGGTGGAGGGAACGCAGGACCCGGGGCCAGACCGCAAGGTAGGCGTGCGCCAGGAGGGAAGGCACGGAACGCACACTCGGCAGCCAGTACTGGATCTTGGGGTACGGCCAGAGGGGAATATGCTCGGCCTTGGCAGCCCAATTCACATACTCCGGGTCGGCCCACTGCTGAGGCTCATAGCCCTCCTCGTCCGAGGGGGACGAGGCATCCGACTCGGCCAGGGAAAAGAGCGACGGGCTGGCGCTCGGAAGCACCGGGCTTCCGGGGACCGTGCCGGCCAGCTTGTCCGACAACGGGGCGCCGGCCTTCGGGTCGAAGCCCAGCGGCGAGGACGTCTCACTGTCGCTGGCGGACGAGGAGGAGGGCGACGACTGGCAGTCCGACTGAGCGGCCGTCGACAGGTACATCGACGAGGGGGACCGACTGGACAGGGGGCTGTTCAACTGCGACATCGATGGGTAGGTGGAGATGGGCAACGAGGGCAGGCCAAGTGACAGGGCCACCTGGCAGGCCTCGCGCTCGCCCGCCTGGATGGCACCCTCCATGTAGCCGAACCACACGTCGCAGGTTTCGGTGCCGGCAAAATGGATCGGCCCATGGGGGGTGGCCAGAATGCCGGCAAGGAGGGTGGCCGTGCCGGGGATGAAGACGCCGCTGTAGCAGCCGCCGGAAAACCGGTCGGAGGACCAATCTTTTTCTATATACCCCGTGATTTCTATGTCCTCGCCCAGGATCGAGCGATACTGGGCCTCGACCAGTTTTCGGCGCTGTTCTTCGGCGGCCGCCTGTGATGCCGGGCATTCCGGCAGCAGGAGGGAACTGCTCTCGATGAGAGCACGCCCAGCCACGATGAAGCCCACCAGCGCGGGGCAGGAGCCATCCTGATGGGGGGGGGGGGGGGGAGGAGGGCCGCGCCCGGCCGACACGCACCGGCTGGCAATCGTCGTAAGTCAAGGCCAGCGGGCCCTGGTCGTCGATGATGGTTCCGGAGAGACCCTTCTCACGCCAGTACGGGCGCTTGAAGAAGGTCATGGTCTTGATGACACAGCCCATCGGCATGCGCTGAGCCAGATGCATCTTGGGCGCCGGAAGCGGCGGGCAGAACTCGATGGTCGGGTAGAGCGTGGGCGGCAGGGCCATGATAACGCGCCTGTTTCCCGTGCGGGGGGTGGGGGCGATGTCGCAAAGGCGGGCGCGGCAGCGAGGAGGAGG